AATTCAGTAAAGAGAAAAACAGTGATGAAAACTTTTCGTTCCTATGTAGCAGCAAAAGCAATCCTCAGTCTCATTCCCAATCCCTCGATGTGCGGGTAGGGATGGCAGCCAGGAACTCCCTGTCCAGCTGAGCCACCCTCTTTAGCATGGCCGTGACTTACAGAGTGAATATATAGAGCAAGGGCATGACTGTGGGTAACATGGATGAAATAACCCTATAGCTCATAGGTTAGAAATCTGTAGTAACATCTGCTTCGATACTTTGGAGGGGTGGAGTAGAGTAACAGATAAGACTTACAGCTCTGAGCCTGATAAACATCAATTAAATCTTGGATCTTCCACTGAAAAATGTGTGACCTTGGAAAATTTTTACAGATCTTTCCTCACCAATTAAATGAGCACAATAATAGTTCCTTCCTCACAGCCTTACTGTGAGTATTTATGATGTAATGCAAATGGCTCCTTCAGCTCTGTTGCTGGCCCACAGTAAACACTCAATAAATGTTCCCTCCAATTATTTGTGTCATGTACAAATTGAAAGTACTTTCTGGGAACAACCTTTAATACAAAATGTAGCACACAGATTTATTTTTTAAAAAAACTGTATATACAGGAATAATATTTTCATATATCTGTGACCTAATATTATTTTGTTTTTGTTGTTTTATGGCAAAAATAATGATTCTTGTGAGATATTGATGTGATGTGACATAATACATAGTATTATGTTTTATTTTGGTTTTTTTGGACACACAGTCTTACTCTGTCCCCCAGCTAGAGTGCCGTGGCATCATCATAGCTCACTACAACCTCAAACTCCTGGGCTCGAGCGATCCTCCTGCCTCAGCCTCCTGAATAGCTGGAACTTTCTATTTTTCCTAGAGATGGGGCCATGCTCTTGCTCAGGCTGGTCTCAGACTCTTGAGCTCAAGCGATCCTCCCACCTGGGACTCCCGAAGTGCTAGGATTGCAGGCGTGAGCCACTGCGTCTGGCCCACTGTTAAGTGCTGTGGTGACAAACCTGAAGGTAGAAAAATCCTCCTGGAATCTAGCATTTGCTGCAAACGCAAAATGATTTCATAGAATATGCATTTTAAAAGGAGTCGCAATTCAGTCCCTGCAGCGTTGCAGACAGACTTGGGGCACTCTGCCACGGGCACAGCTTTCAGGAAGGCTGAAGAGTGCGGCGTGGCAGAGGTGTGGGGACAGGGAAGAACAGTGCGATGTTATCCTACTCTGATGCATTCCTGAAGGATCAGAGCACCAACTCCGGATGTACAGATTTCAGTCAGCCCTTTCGACTCTTAATAAATTATCTATCTCATTTGTAAATATATAAGCCACGATGGTATTTGGGTTAAAAGTGAGGTAATCTAGTTCCACAGTTTTCAGTCTTCCCATGTGTAAATCATTTTAACAGTACGCAAGTAATTCCATATTTGAAACTCCCAGTGAAAATACTTTCATTTCTATCTCTGCACATCACCACAAATCAGAATAAATAGCTGTGCCAGGAGTTCCTGCCAAGTACGTTCTTCGAGCGAGGGAGGCAGTGTAGCCTAGTAAGGAGGATGTTCTGTTAGGAGTCATCAAACCTGCATCTCACTTCCTAATCGGTAAATTATGTCTCTCTTCATGCTGCCATTTTCTCTGTAGGCAGACACCATATCACAAGAAAAATCGCGACAGTTGCGCAAGTGCCTTGGCACCTAGCAAAAACATGTCGTCATTATTACGTGACGGTTCGAAGTCAGACTTTTTCAGCAGGCCAGAGGAGCAGTGTGTTTTGTAGCTAGATCTCTGGAGCAACTTTCCTTAGGACTTTCCTTGAGGAGAATTCAGCTGATTGTTCTAGGATCAGATTTTGATAGGAGTGCGGGAAGATGAGAAACTTAAAAAGCAGTCTCCGTGCAGAGTGATCATATTTACCAAGTGATTGTAGTCTGGTATTGTGTCAGCTGCTTTGAATTTAATCATGTTTTTCCAAAGTCACTGGGATCACAGAATTTGCATCAGGCCAGTCTACACCTGGGAAGTAGAGTTACTGCCTTTCCCCAAAGCGTCCTCGGAGCTTTCTGTCATTCCCTGGTCATGAGGACAGATGACTGCTAAGTGACCATACGCAGTGTTCTCCCTCAGACTCATCTGAAAAGCAACAGCAAAGAAAGAGAAAGAAAAAAACCTAGTACCTTTCATTTCTTTTGGTTCTCTGATTCTTTGTTGACTGCCATTAGGCTCAGTATAAAGTCACTAGAATCCTGAAGCTAAAATGAACAACACTGGTATCTGGGGGTAGTGTAAATGCATCTTTGAATGTGGTTGAAGATTTGGAATAAAGCAGTAACAACTATTTTCATTTTACCGGTTCTTCTATACTCTTTAATATAGTAGAGTATATTTCCCATTGACTTTTAATATACTTAACGCTCTAGAAATACTGTGAAGCTGCAACCTTTTACTGTGAATAATGATTTAATGTTTCGAACTCAGTGTTAAAAGATTTCCAACTAAAGCTTTTCTGACTTGCAGTGTAAACATTCTTGTCTTTCTGGAATTGATAGGTTTTTATTTCACCAGTAGTTCACTAAAAGGTCTTTTCTTTTTCTCACAGTCTGACAGCAATGCAAGCTTCCTCCGTGCTGCCAGAGCAGGCAACCTGGACAAAGTCGTGGAATATCTGAAGGGCGGCATAGACATCAATACCTGCAATCAGGTAAGAGCAGGGCAGCTGGCTCTGTGCTGTGCAATGAAGA